CATTCTTTTTAAAATTTTATACCACACTTAGATTATGATATTTGTAATTTGGTGTATAATAATTATATATTGTCTAGTACATTGTATAAAATATAATAAATAAATAATAGGTGGTTCTAATTTGTGATTGAGTTCAAAACCTTATCTCAGGCCGACAAAACAAGACACTGTAATAATTCAACAAAGGGTGGGTTCAATGAACCATGCCTAACTTCCTTTCTCGTTTTTTAGAATTTGCTAGTTTTTCAAAATAAAAAAGTCGAGATGGAAGGACTTTTCTTTGAAGCCATCAAGTGGAAAATGTACTTAATTAGACATTGAGATAACACAATTATTGAGCACAAAATTTTCTTCGATGCACCCCCGGCTCCTGCCCGAAATGAACGTTTACGTGTACGTATAAATTTTCCACGGCTTAACTGGTTTTTGGGGTTCGGCTTTCTCCAATAATATTTGCGGCACAAAATAATGGGACCCCTCACTCGCGCCCATCACGACCGTGATTAATTCTCCTACCTCGGATTCATACCACAGTTTATAACACTCCGAATCTCACATTAATAGATACTTGTGAGTGAATTATATACATATATATATAAATTAATTATTATTAATAATTTAAATTTAAATATTTGAAAATTCATGAATTTATAAAAAAAAAAAATTTATTAGGTCAGTGTCGGAAGTTTGGTCTGCTTCGTTTCACAGCTGTTGAGAGGGCCCAAGAATGGGCATGAGACAGGGAGAGGTCTAGGGGAAAATGATTTAAAAGGATACTTTTTTTATATATATAAAATTTTATGTATTATTTAATTATTAATTTTTTTATTTAATTAAATTTTATAAATTATAATATTATATATTTTTAAAAAATAATATTTATTCACTTTATTTTTAAAAAATTAAAAAAAATTATCGTAAAACTAAATTGTTTCAATAAATTTACATTGAAAAAAAATTAAAATGCATTATTTTTAAATCATGAATTAAAATATTTTTTATTTTTATAATTTTTTATTAAAATTATATAATTTTAAAATAATTTTTATTATAATATTTAAAAAATAAGACGAATAGATACTAACATTATATTTATATATATAAGTTATGGTAAAAAAATTGTGGGTAAAAGTTTTCTCCGTATCATTGGCGGAGAGGTTCAGGTGAACAATGGCCTGAGATGTGAGACATGCATGATTGGATCCTGGGCCTGCAGTTGGGATTTGGGGACAGATAATAACAGTAACGACACTTGCAATCAAGGTAAGCTCTGAACATCTGTCTAAATCTTATGATTTAAAGTTAATAGCACTGCCATTCAACTTTAATTATGTTGGTTTGATTTTTTAATTTTTAAAATATATATATATTTTTTAACATTTCGACACGGGACGGATTCGAAACCCGTCTAAGGGAAGGGGGAATGCACCTAGCAAGCTGACTAATGTCAATGGGCCTCTAGGCCCAGATGCTTAAAATATTAATTGTATATAAAAATTTGATAGTTATTTTTTATAAAATAAAATTATTTGATAAAAATTACATATAAAAAATTTTTTAATTATCATTTATATGTTTTTGTTAAATTTTTATTTAAAATTAATGTTTAAAATATTAAAAATTAAATGAATAATTTTAGA